GATGGATATTATTTGTCTTTCTAAGAATGTTATTCTTTTCACATACTATTTTTTTCCCCTCTAGTTGTGGCAATTTATGATTATACAAAAGACAAGGAAGATGAGCTGTCCTTTCAGGAAGGAGCCATTATTTATGTCATCAAGAAGAATGATGATGGTTGGTATGAGGGAGTTATGAATGGAGTGACTGGGCTCTTTCCCGGGAATTATGTTGAGTCTATCATGCATTATTCTGAGTAAAGCTCAGCAGGGTTATACTTCCCTGAATAGTCAGGTCTTCCCAGATTATCAAAAGGCCCTGAGGCTTCCCCTCCAGTGAAATGAAGGAAGGATACAAATGACACAAACTACTTACGTTTTTTGGTTTATTCCCCAGTATTAAAAAAGCAAGCTGAATCTGAACAAATGGGTCTTTCTGCCATTATTTGTACTATGCTGAGCTGTTTGGACTGAAATAAAGTGACCATTTCTATGTATATCAGAGGTATAACAGCATAACTCTGTAAAACAAATCAGGTTAAGACTGATTCAGAAAAAATCTGGGATCTTTCTCAGGAATACTGTACACTCTTGGGATTTCTCCTCCTGCAGAATCTGGCATTGGATCTTCTTCAGTGCCTGTGCTAAAGGGTCAGCCTTGTGGTCTCGTGCCATACCTGTACCCCACACTTCTTCCACTTGTATGAGGAGGAGCGAACTAGTATTGAAATACCATACTTAACCATTTTTATAATTGTTTCAATGGCTTATTTCCTCTTAACACTGTAAATTCTGCATTCTCTCAGCACTTGAGTGCACCAGATCAGTTAACGCTGCTGACTTGCATCCCTTCATGTTTTTCAGTTTGTAGATTGAGGATGATGAAATGAGTCCCCAAACATTCTGAGGGTGGTTAACAATCGCTGGCTTGATTTTAATGTGCTGCTGCTGCATGAGACTGCATTGCCACTAATGGCTTGTGTACCCAGATGTGTGAAGTGTGGTAGCCTGGATCCTATACTGAAGTAGGCTCCTAACGTGAGGTTCCTGAGGTTCTGAAGAGATTGAACTGTATAAACATTCTGCTCAATAGGCATCCTAAACCCTTGCCTTAGGCACTCTTTCCAGGAGTAGAATGTAAGAGGTCATATCAGCTATTTCTTTACTTCTTTCACTATTTTTTGGAAAATAAGTTACTTTCAAGTCTCTTGACAGTCATTGGGGAACAAAAGGCTTGCTACTGTTCTCTCTGTTGTTAATGGTCAGTGTTAGCTGCTGTTGAGTTGTTTACTCAATTCTAGGAAAGGGAAATACTCTCCCAGTTTTGTGTGATTGGCTTTAGTAGCTGCTTTTGGTAGGAGTTTGAACCTTGTATCTCAGACTAAGAATAGTGGGATAAGAGGTCTAAGGCCAAATACTTATCTAATTACATTGGCAAAAATTAAGATAATGTTGAGAGAAACAAGTATTTTTTTCTGTCTGTACAAATTGTAGCTTCAAATTCAGTGGAGTTGGTAAGGCAGATGGCTTTACTCATCACTTCTTTAATCAGTGTAAGAAATAGTGGAAACGTCCAGGAGGGCCTGCTGCTCAGCAGGCAGGTGCTGTGGTGATGACAGGCCAGCTCACAGGCCCAACACAGCTCTGGGTTTGTCCCAGTCCCAGGGACCCGTCCAGAAGAGCCCTCTTGCCAGCTTATTTTCCTGTGAAGGGTGAAAGGCGAGAGGCAATAGCTGCATTTATTTCAAGTGAAGGCCTTTTAGCAGGATAGTAGAGGTCGAGGAATTTGAAAAATGAGCAAGTGCACACTAGTGTATGAGGGAATTCAGATGGTGTAGGCAAAAGTTAATATTCTGCTTGTGAATCTGAGCACAAAACTTCATCACCATTTAACTGCGACCCAGAGAGTTAGTTCCCTTATCAAGACTTTTCATTTTAAATTTGTAGGGTTTTTCTCCCCCACATTGCAAATTAGCTGTTTGCTTTTAGATTTCTTCAACACTTTGCATTTAGTATTCACTAACTTGCCTCGGCTCCATGCTTTTATTAGGTCATCTTAACGTTCTCTACTCCCGTTTTCCTTCAAAGTAATGGCCCTGAGTGCCCTCTGAGCCTTCAGGTTCATTATGGACCTGGATAGATTAAACTTTTCTTAGTGTTGGTGTATAAAACTAGGAAAACTTGTTTTGAAATTAGATGTTCCAGTTTTTACTTAAATAGCTTTGTGCTGAGAAAGTTTAGTGGCTTTTTAAAAGCAAGAGGGTATTTTGAAATCCAGTATAGTTCTCACAGCTCACACCTACAGAAGCAGAGAAGATAATTGTACAAAACAGTCGGTGGCGGTCAGCTTGCCTGTTGGACCCCTCCTGGATTGTGTTGTGCAGAAGACGTTGAAGTCCTTCATACTGAAGACCTGCAGCAGAGGGGGATCCATGGTTCAGCTGACTTTTTCTATTATTTAGCACTAATTTGTGTGATTGTTTTAAAAACACCTGTTGGATTTTCTGCATATTTTAAATTTTTGTACAGTTTTGAATTCTCTATATTGTCTTGGAAGGATACTATGTAATGATGATAGGCCAGGCCTACAGTAATTGGAGACTTTTAATGTATGTAATATTTCATAGATTGCATGCTATTAATAGTCTGTGAAGGCAGTATTTCTTGATTTAGCATAAGTTTTCCCCATTTCTTTTTTTATAAACTACAAGATGGTAGTAGGAATTCCAAATGAATGCAGAAATCTTATAGGATATATACTATTGTGGCAAAGATGATCCAAGTCTAAAACCGGACTAGGAAGCAACCATTTTAACAGGATAGAGGGAATCTAATGGAAGAAGGAATTTTTTTTCCTCCTGAAGTGCTTTATTCCTTAAAAGTGACTTAAGGACCCCCCACCCCACCCCGCCCCCACTGCTTTTGGTACTACTGTTTGAAAGGCCATGGGGAAATTAATGACAATACACTTACTTTCTTGTTGACCTTATGACCAAGGCAATACATCAAAAACCAAAATAGTGTCAAAATCTAGACCTGAGAGATTCAGCCTACTGTATTGGGAGTAAATATGAATCTTTTGAAATGTTTTGATCAGTATTTTCCATTCTAGTTACCTTTTGTCTCCCTCAGGGGTACCTGCTGTTCCCATTTTAGGGTTGGCAAGGGCCTGCTACTTTTGCTGTGTTGCTAAAAGTCACTAGGTGAGACATTCTTATCCCTCCTCTTCTTTCCCCCTCCTGCTGCTGTTTATTACCCAGCTAGAGAGAAGGTTTTATGTATCTTTACAGTGATGTCTGTGATACAGCTTTGCTCCTTAGCTGTCATATGTTGATTACAGGTGATTTCTTCTGATTTTTCTGCTGGAGAGGCATCAATATGGTGGTAGTTCGCTTTTATCCTTTTGTGTTCATTTTCTTTTAGCAGGTACCTTTAAGAACTCTTCCTTTATACTGCCTTTTCTCCTTGGTGGCGAGAGCGTGACATGTCCTAAAGGCCACCTTTCCCCTTGAAAAGGGTTTGATGGGAATTGGCAGGTGACTGCCAAGTCTTCGAAAAGAAGGGATCTGAATCACTTCCTATCTATCTGTTCACTTTTGAACTTCTTTGGCCAGGAACTCCTGACTGGTGTGAAGGTGAGGATTTCCCTCACATGATTTACTTAGAATCATGGAATTTTAGAGCTAGATGAGATATAAAAAATGTTAGTTCATTTTCCATTTTAACTGAGGAGGTTAGATGTGTCATTTCAGATAACAGCTAGTTAACAACAGTAGAGTTCCTGACTCCACGGCTGGTACTCTTTCTACAGCTGTCTTAATTCAGTGTGCTATAGGTTTCTTTAAAAATTGAGTTCTACTTGATGTCTTCAGGAAGATACTTGAAAAGATCTGCTGTTTTGATAAATACCATCAGTATTCAAACTGTTGAAAGGAGTGTACTAAGTGCAACCATAATTAGTGAAAGTAATCGTTTTAACCCTTCTACTACTATACTCAGTACTATGTAGCAGAAATAGGTTCTATTATTTCAACACTGGCAGGAGCACAGCAGAGAGCCTTATAAAACAGTTCTTAAACAGGCATTGTGCTCATTACCTGAAGTTTACTTTATGCTGATCTTTGTTCCTGTTTCTTAAGAATTTCATAATTCTTTAAAAAATTGACAAATGAAATAGGGCCTAGCTGCGTATAAATGATCCTTGCTAAAATATCTTGGTTTTTTTGTAAAAAACACAAAAAGCTTATTTTCACATTAAAATGGAAATGTTTTGCAACTTCAGAATTCTATGGAAAAGCAGTTTTTCATATTTTGTGTCCATCTTTTTTCTTAAAATGGTTTACAGAAAAGAATGTAAACAACTTGTGATCTGGCCAGTTGTATTTTGAAGCTCCTGCAGAGAGGGTTGGTGTTCTGAGTTGAGTAGAAGTCATGCAGGAAAACTTGAGGGAGCAGTCTGTTGCCAGTAATGTTTCTTGTGTGTGCCATTAAGCCACCTCCAGATGAGTGGGGGGACATTCACTTTTTAATTTCAAAATTGTATTTGAAACTGTTGCTGTGTACTAAGAACTTGACCTAAATAAAATTCTACAAAGTATGTCCAAATGTCTTGTGAATGAATGTATTTATGCAAGTAACATTACTAAGGTAAGCTGAAGTGTATCCTTCCCTGTTGCTTTAAATTAACATGAGGGTTTTGCCCCCAAATACTGTTCTTTAAAAAGAGAAGCTTTTTTGTGCCCTAGTTTGGCCAACAAGTGACTTGTAAATATATCATAAATCTACACTGCACATAATTTTGAGAGCAAAGCTCGAAGAAAAATCTTAAAATTTATTATAACTACTTAATTGCTAATGTAGTTTAGTAGCCAACGCTTTCTCATCTGTTACTACAAACTAAAGGTTAATCAGCTGAACATATTTGTTTTTACCGCACAGCCTATTTATGGGTGTACCACCAACATGAACAGCGAAACCAAGTTCTTAATGATGCCGATCCACAAACAGTCAAGTCCCCATGCTTAAATGAAATCTATGTATTCTTTTTATTAAGGATTGGGTAAGCTGACATAATGAAAACACATAACTGAAAACAAATTTACACTGACTGTATGACTACTGTCCTAAGCCATTACAATATTTCACTGACAGTAATATGGTAGGAGTAATATGGAAAATAACTTAATCCAGCAGTAGAACAAAAAAAACATCTTCAGTAGTACTGAATATATCTCTCTCATATATATATATCTATATATAGGATAGGTTTGCACAATCAGGGAGCAAGGCACATAATGAAATGAGAGCGTACATTTAAGCAGAAGAAAATAGCAACAAAGCCTAAAGAAAAATTGTTAACTTCACTTTCACCGAGCTGTGCATAATCATAATTGTTTGAATAATGTCCTCTTATCAGGTACTTTATAATGCAGTTCCTTTTGCCTTCTTTTTCATGCTTTAAAAAACTATATTCCTACATTGTATCTATTTATTTATGGCAAAGCTCCCACAGCCTAGATGTCAGTGTAAGCCTTGACTCCATTTTTTAAAGAAATGGGAAAAGGAGCAATCCCCGTTAAATATAATGTGCAATTTTCCTTTGAAACAGTAAACAATGTTTTTACAACATTTAGCACAAGCTAATGATACCATAATTGTACATTTCTATAAAAGGAGTTCACTAGTGGCTAATGACAAAATTAAGCAAAATCATTTGAAACATTCCAGTTAATGCTTATTTTCGAGGAGGGATTATTTACAAGTAGAGAAAAAATATATAGGAAGTAAGAATCATGAAAATGGCAGTTTTTGGTATTAGGTTACAATAAATCTAACAAACAATGGACAGTTCCCAAAATGCAAAGACATTAAGTGCTGCAAGCATGTTCTGCCTAAGAAGAGGTTGAGGCTTCAACAATAATGAGCTTGGTATTAATAGCCATCCGTGATCAATGTGGTCACTTCTGAACTTAGCTATCTTTTAATACGTAGTATTCACCATCACCCTGACTCGACTCACTTCTCTAAATGTCTTTGGTAGAAAGTGGCCAGACCCTATTCAGCTAGATGAAGCCATCTCTTGTGAGACAGACACTTTTTCTATTCCCGCGCAAACTACAAATACTCATCTTCCTTCTCTTTCATTAGCACCTCAAAGTTTGCTTGTTGGATCGTTTTTTATAAATGCTATTATTCCTCCAAAAGAGTTCAAGGCACTGGGGATTATAGCAGATAGTGTCTTCTCTTCAACAAAGAGCAAACGAATTGGAGATGTTTTTCCCTTATGTGTTTCTCAAGTATGTTCTTTTTATTTAGCAAATTTATTCTACAGCTAAATTTCAGATTTCTTTTACATACAGACCTGCTAAGGGCACAATAAGAACAGAGCACTTGTTTAGTTGGAGAGAGGGACTGGTTAAAAGTATAGAGATGTTCTTCTATTGAATGTTTAAAGGAAAATAAATCCTAAAAATGTGGGATATTTAATTGTATTGCATCTCTCTGCATCAAATCTTAAGTTGTGAGCAATCATATATTCCTACAGGGTTAGGGTTAACCGACTTTATATAAATAAATGATGTAAACAAGACTCGAAGTGCCAAAAGGTACTTGAAACTTGAAAGGGAGTTTTAGGACTAGACATTCTCTCATCAAGTGTATAAATCCAAATTATTATACGTACTTAAAGCAAGTCATTACTCCTGTAATCATACAGGGCCATATAGGTTTAAGTAGTCTAAACTTGAATAAAATCAGTTATAATTTATTACCTCCAAAGATATAAAAAAGTTTCTTAACATAAAACTAGGGAAAAGGTTTTTGTTTAAAATCACCTTTGTTTGTAACATGAAATTACTTTTAGCTGAGGGGAAAAAAAGGGTGACAAAGGGTTTGATAGTCAAAACCAATCCATACTATTACCTGAAGCTTTCTTTCCAGGCTATTTTATAACTTTACATCCCTGATACAAGCAGATTAGCAGCTGTATTTCCCCAGAACAGTCACTTCTGAAATTCTAACTGGATGCACAGCTCCTATTAAATCTTGATCTAAGAGTGGTCACTCCACTGGAATTACTTATTCATGATCTCCCAATTTTGTGTAAACTTTCTTGATAAAGTCTGTTTTTAGTGGCAAGTAAACTTACATAGAGAGGACTTCCAAGAGAGTTCACAGCCCTTAGCCGAGTATGCCGTCAGTGGGCAGGAGCACCTTGATTTTAGAGGACTGTAAAACACCATCATGTCTACCTTACTTTGAAAGTTTCTCATGAAAATCATTTCCTATAATTTTTAAACATCATCAATCTTTTTCATCTTAAAAAGTCCCCAAAATTAAAAACCAATTTATACTTAACTGAGTACCTATAAAAACCTTAAGAATACTTTTCCTAAAATTACAGCAGCTAAAGAAATGTAGTAAAAGCCCAGCTGAATAAAATTGCAATACAGAATAGTCTAGCATTTGTATTATTACTTAGATCCTACTGTAAGTTGTTGTATTAACAGAATAGGCTCGCTGTCCTTCCAAGTTGGTGCCAAAACTTTAGCCCAGGGTGATCCAATTCTGAAATTAACCTGTGGTAAAAGTTAAGGGTGTCACTAATTAACTGAGTCACTAGCTGAAATAGGCACCTGTTTGCACTGCCGTCAGCAGCACGATGAGCTCATCCATGCTGTTCATTTTTCAACACAGCCAAGTCGGCTGTCCAGATTTTCTCCTCTGACCACACACAGCTATGTGGGGTTGGAAGAGCGACTGAGCGGAAGGCAGTGGAAGAAGGCACAGTACTAGTGTCCTCTGGCAGCAGGTGTTCTCCACGAACACACCAGAGAAAAGTTACAAAAACAGAGTAGGATCCAAAAAAAAAAAAAAACCCTACATCCTAACAAAAACCCAAATTTAAAAACACTCCACTAGGGAGTAAAACACTAGAAATACAATCTAAGATTTTTTTTTTTTTTTTGATTCAATGTTTCATACAAAACAAAGGGGGAAAAGATGAATAGCCTTCTCTGTGTTTGGAGAAAGGTAAAGGAAAATAGCCTGTTGTAGACTAGCCATTGGATTGGGGTAAGAATGAGAGTTCCTCCTCTGGCCCTGCTCTCTGCTCGGTGCCGGGAACGTTCTAAAGGATGGCTGCTCTTTCAGGAAAGTGATCATGCTGGAACCATCGGTTCAGGATGACTATCAAGACTAACATAAGCAAGAAGTCCTAGGGAATCCTACAATGACTAAACAGAGGCCGTATCCTAGGGCTCAAATCATGGGTAAAAGAGGATTGAGGGCACGTTGTTTTTTCCCCTCAAGGAAAGTTGAAGTCCACTTCCATTTAAAAAAAAAAAAAAGGCCATCATGACATGACCACAACAAAAACCCTAGTCCAATGACCCTATGCCATTGGATTCATAATAACTTTCCCCCACAAATAAGAGTGATCCTTAGAATATAAAGCTGCAGGCAGAACACAATGGGAAATTCCTTCACTGGTAAGTGACAGTGCAGCATAGCGATCTGTACTCAACCATTACCCAAACCGCTGTGCGTACTTACATATAACAGTGCAGATGTGTTAAAGGTCACTTCATAAGCTAAGGATATCAAGCACAGAGAACTTTGAGAACAAATGAAAAAGTCCAAAATATCTTTTAAAGAAGCAGGGCTTTAAAAAATGCACAAAGGTACATACTCTTATTGCTCTGTAAGCACATGAATATGCAGAATGATATCCTGGTGATGTGGCAATGGTGAGGTGCCACTTCATGTCCCCTCTGGTGCCATGCTTTTCTGGAGGTGGGTTTACAGGAATATCTTAGGTATACAGTACAACTTTTGCTTATTCTTGAGTTATTAACTATCTCTGCCCCCACTGCTATGATACCACTTTATCCTTATGGGACAATCCTTATTTTGCACCGGTAATCCTTATTCACAACAGGTAGAGATTTTCATTACAAGATGTGCTCACTTATCACTGCTGGGTTGGCTAGTTTTTATTCTTTTGTATATGAGCAGCTCTGAGATTGCATTTTATTTGTAATGGTCACTTTATCATCATAAGTTAATGAGACAGTACATATTTCACATATCAAGGAAAACTCACAGGACGAAAAAAAAGCATAAGTATACTGTGAAGCATACAGAATTGTAGTGTGTGATGAGAGCAACGATTCCATGTTATACCAAACTGCACATGCAAAATATGTAATGTCACTTCAGACTACACCACTCCATCAGAACACCTGGTTAACCTGGACAGATCTCCACAACCAAGCTACGACAAGCAAGAATCCTAGTGCACTCTGGTAGCTAAGGATGAAATCATCAAAAACCTCATTTATACTTTTCCCTCCCTGTAGGGCAGTCCCATACTTAAATGAATTCTTTGTTATGCACTACAATCCATGTACAACCTGATTAGTGATACCTGCACAAGGGCCAGTTCTGTTCTTTCCTAATCACCCATCCTAGAGCAACGCACAAAACATACGCATTTCAGAAGGTAATTTTGTTTTTTGTAATGATGCACTACTTTGGACATGGGATGTGTATACTTGATAGAGCAACTGTCTACAGATACCTACTATCAACATCTTACCTAAAGCACACACTATAACTGGTGGGATGGAGCATTCCAGGGGATTGTGTCAGACATTCTCTCACAACAAATCAAAGCAAGGATCAGGAAGCCAAGCTTGATGAGGCTTCGCAAAGCTCATGAAAAAGATTCCAACAGTACAAAAAGAACTACCTGGGATTATAGTACTAAATTATCCATGTATGGTAGGCAGAGCTTACCTGTGACACAACACGTCCTAGATACAGGTGGGATCGTGGCAGCAATACTGCAACTAGAATGGTTTGGTTACATCACATATTTACTTCCTATGCACACGCATGGACAGATGACAGGGTCTGTGAAAACTTCCCCATACTGTGCTCTTCGTCCGTGATGCTGACAGAGTCTCCTGATTTAAAGTGCCCCTTCATGTATAGTCATGAAGTGTCAGTCAAGCAGTTCGAACTTCAGCCAAATGGGGAAAAAACAAACACAAAAGCCCCACTGATACACCAAACATTCTGTTGTCTTCTCAAATTGAGAAAGAGCACATAGGACATCTATTCCTTAAGATATAATACACAACGTGCACAGTCAGGCTGTGCATGGACACTTAATAAAATGCCTTCTAAATAAGTCATTATAAGTTTTGGTCCACTCCACATGACAGATAATAGAAATCATACGGGACAGGACACACATCCCCTTCCAGGACTCTTCCACCCAAGATACACAAACCTATTTTCAGATTAGGAGAGAAAAGGAATAAATAGACTCACTCTCAGCTATATATATATATACACACACACATATGTATACATATATATATATACATACACATACACTATATGTGTATAGCTATGTGTGCCTACGTACATGTACACACACATATAGCTGGATACTACCTGAATAACAACAACATCATACTAGGAGGCTCTGAACACCAGAATTCATAGGTGATCAGGTGAGCTGATTGTAGAACTGATTACAGATACCATGAAAATAAAGTCCTATGGTAGCTACTACCAGTCTCTTGAGAGCTTGGTATTCTGGTCTCTTTTGGGGGGAGCAGGAGGGGGTCCTCTCCGCAAGGTTGCATAGCCCGATATATGACTGCCTCCATAACCAGCTTTCTGTTGATCAGAAAGCAGTTCAGGGGGAGGTGGGGGCAATGCCATATCATCCATGGTGGCTGTGGGTTCTGCTCTGGACATGCGGGAGGATGAGAGCGAGCCATGCCGGGTGATGGACTTCCGTTGCAGTGTCCTGTTGAGGTCAGCTAGGAATCCAGGCTGGACACTAAGGCTGGATTTGGGAGAAGTGGGCACTTGCGGCACAACTGTGGCCATTGCTGGCTGCTCAGAGATCTCTGCTTGAGTGAGGCGGGTGCTGTCATTCCGTTTGGGTCGTGTGGGTGGAGGGGCCTTCTTCACGGAAGTTTTGGACCATGGCTGTGGTTGAGGATTGACGACTGCCACTTTTGGAGAGGTGTTTCCGGAGAATACTGCTGGAATTTCTATGGGCGGCAGAGGAAGCTCTATTTCAGGTGGAGGAGGCGGAAAGTCGGAATCAGATGGAGGAGAAGGAAATTCTACCACGGAGTCTTTTCCACGCCCACTCAGAACGGATACTTTTGCTGATACACATCCTTGCTGGAGAACTCCGGGGAGGTTAACTCCAGAAAGATTCAGTTTTCCAGGTTTGGGGGGCGCTGCCGGAGGTGCTGGGGTCTCTTTGCTGGGAGACCCCGACGGTTCTGCTGGCGATGCAAATTTGCTCACTAGACTGTCTACGGAGGGTCTCTTGGGCTCAGGGTGCTCTGCGCAACTGCTGGACTTAATGCTGGAGTTGCGCTGAGGGGTTGGGGGAGGTTTCTTGGCCCCGGGGCTGGACGTCTTACTGGTCTTTTTGCCTGGAGATGCACTTTTGTCGGAAGCCGAGGCGGGAGAAGCGGTGGGAGTGGCTGGCAGTGGCGGCGGGGCCGGGGCCAGCGGTGGAGGAGGCGGCGGCGGCGGCGGAGGCGGAGGCGGGGGCGGAGGAAACACCAGGCTGCTCTCGGGTGGAGGAGGAGGGAAATCCGGGGAAGGGACAGGGATGGAGCTGGGCTGCCACTTGGGTTTTGCTTTTACAGCAGGAGGGGACTGAGGGGCCACACTTGCCGCAGGGTGCTTTAAGGGCTGTGACTCCACGTGAGGAGGGGCTGGGGGGGGAGGGAACTGGCTGGCTATCTGTTTCACTACCGAGGGCACCGGAGACAGCGGGGAGGGAGGCGGCTTTACACAGAAGCTCTGCTGCTTGGGTAAGGTGGGTGGCGGCACTGGGCCTGGAGGAGCAGGGGGAGAGGGTGGAATGTGGGAAACTGGAAAAGCTGGCTGCTTTTTTGCCGGGGGAGCCGGAGGAGTAGGTGTAGGTGGCACAGCCTGTGTCATGACAGGTGGCACGGTCTTGGTGCTGGCTGGCGGGGGCACAGTCACAAGAGGTTTGGGGGGTGCCTGGGGAGGGAGGGGTGCGGGGGCAGGAGGTGGTGGTGGAGGCGTGGGAGGGGCCATTTGAGTGGCATGCTGTACGTGATGGATCTTCAGCGGAGGAGGTGGAGGGCTGAACTGTGGGAGGGATGGGGTGCAGGGCACGGGTTTTAGCTGGGCCATAGCGGAGCCCGGGGTGGGGGGTGGGGGCGGAGGAGGGGGCGGGGGAACGACTCCATTGGGGGGCACCGGGATCTGAGGCTTTCCTGACTGCGGGGAGGAGGCCAGAGACTGTACCACTGAGGGTGGTGGAGGCTTGAATAGGGCTCCTGAGTGCTGAGAGGCGTTCTGCAGCCTGGTTATTGTGCTGTACTTGACGAACATCGTGGCTGCTGAGCCTGCAGAAGGTGCAGACTGGCTGGGCAGGGGAGGAGGAGGGGGCGGGGGAGGGGGCGGGGGAGGAGGTGGGGGAGGGGGCGGGGGTGGCAGAGGCGGGGAAGGCTGTGAGGCAGTGTAGGGGGTGACCAACTTGGGCTGTGGGGATAAAGGGGGCATAAGTGAAGTGTAGGGTCGATTCATAGACTCCATTCTGGCCTAAAAGTAGTATAAGGGGGGTGGGGGGGGTGGGAGAGAGAAAACACAACAAACACAATAGTTACAGAGGTAAGCTTTGTGTAAAACTAAACAGCAAGGAATCTGGGACATGCGAGAAAGGACTCAGCAGTGGGACAATGTCACAAAAGCGAAAATCAGACTCCCTGGGCAATAAGGCACAGAGCATTTGTTCACCCAGCAATACTAAACTGCAAGACTGCCTAACAATCTACAAAAAAAGTCCTGCTGCAAAAGCTGCTGACCAGTGACAGGCGGCCTGATTTCTGAGCCCTACCTTTCTCACACCTGCCCCAAATGGGCACCCCCATGGGGGGACCTCCGAGCACAGACCCCACCGGGACTGTGGCAAGTGGAGACGTGATGGTTCGAGTTCACCTTTCAGTCCGTGGCTGCATCCACATCAAGCAGATGCCATAACTGGGTCTAGGAGTGCTGGTGGAGTGCCTCCTGAGGAATGAGGATGGCTTTTTGATGCTAGCAAGCAGACACGTGAGAATATGAGAATGTTCAGCAGGCGTGCACAGTCACACAGGAATGAATGAGCTTGACACACACACTCGTGTTCGTGAGACATTTGCATCCAACATGCACAGAAGTCCAGCAATGCAGGTAAAGGGGGGGCATTCTTTACATGTGTTTTACTGGAAAATACATAAAGAAATGCTTCATAAACATTACAGCAAAAGATCATAAAAATACCATATAGAAAAAGCCAGGAGAAAATGAGAGAAAACCTTTGAAGACTAAAGGAAATATATCAAGAAATGGGAACGAGAGTCTGCCAACAACCTGTTGACCAGCCCATCTGGGATCTCTAGCACTGCCTGAATTACCACATCTGGTCATCCGTTTCATGGAGCCAACTCACACCACGAATGTGGTTCAAGTACTTTTAAAAAGAACAAAAGAAGGACCCTTGGTTTATTATGTTTGGGTACATCTTTTAGGTTCTTTTTGAACAAACTGTGAAGGTCCAAAGGAAATTTTTTGTTTCCAAATTATTCATGACACTTAATTAGCATCAAGAATGCTTAGGTTAGTAGACTAGACTAAAAGGCTGAATTCTAATGCCCATTAGGACACTCGCATGTTTCTTTAAAAATTGCACAAAATAAAAGCATTAGTCTGGGAGATTTGGTTATAGGAGTCACCCAGGTTAATGTGTTTCCAAAGAACAGCCCCTGACCTTAACTTGACCCTGTCTTGGCTGCTGCAGGGGTGCAGACCTTAGCTGTGCTGGCCTTCTCATTTGGCACCTGAGGCTGAGGTAACAGAAGAAACACAGGTGGGGGGTCAAGACAAACAGAGGGTCACTGCTACACAGCAGGGTGCACGCTCCTGAAACTACAAAGGCGAACTATGCTGCTTCATCACACAGCATTTGGACCTTTGTTTTCCTTGGCCTTTCATTTCAAATGCACATGGATAACACTATTAAAAATTTAATACGGGAGAAGGCTTTTTTTCAGATATCTGAATTGTATAAATCTGCTTTTCTACATATATAAAATTATTAGCACCAGATAGGGCTGTTCCATCCAAACTGATTAAGTGGGGAAAGGGAGACCATTGTTTCTTAAAAGTCTGAACCACTGATAACGGAGTTAAACAAACTGGCAGTGTTTTGAGAACTTAGGTCATTAGAACCAATTCTCAAATATTATTTCTAAGACAAAGTGTTCCACCCCCACAACAGGCTACTGAAGCCTCTTCCTGAGGGCCAGTTTATCAACCACGTAAGTAAATAAAGGGTTAAATTAAGGCAAAATACCATTTAGTTCACATTGGTGAATGCACTTGTGTAAAGTGATTCAGACCGAAAGAACAAGAAAAAATCTCAATGGGGGCACCTGGGTGGCTCAGTCGGTTGAGCATCCGACTTCAGCTCAGATCATGATCTGAGGGGTTCGTGGGTTCAAGCCCAGCATCGGGCTCTGTGCTGACAGCTCAGAACCTGGAGCCTGCTTCCCATTCTGTGTCTCCCTCTCTCTCTCTCTCTGCCTCTCCCCTGCTCATGATCTGTCTCTCTCTCTGTCTTCAAAAATAAATAAATGTTTAAAAAATATTAAAAAAAGAAAAGAAAAATCACAATAATTATTGGGTAAAAACACAACAGTCAGGCCAGGTGTGTCACTGGCCCCTGGGTGATGGTGTGAGCTTCTGCCTGCTCAGAGGGCAAGGACAGCTGGGACACACTGCCGCCCAAAGAACTTTGCAGGTAGTGTGATAATGACGTCTTTCACTTGGGCTAAAGAACCTCTACATTTCTAAATAGTCTTGCAGTAATCATACTCATCCTTCAGTGTCACTGAATAAACTACCATAAAAAGCCCAGGGATCCAAAATTTTAAGGGGATTAATCTGAATTTAGTCTTCCACATATACTAAAATTTGAGAAAACTCATCAATGTGCAGAGAAATGCCAAAAAGCATAAAGGAAAAGATGACAAAGGAGTGAGTCTGAATAAATTAAATTAATAACAAATAATGCACCATAAGCAGCTTCTCTGGAACAAATTAGGGTACTGGCACTAAATGGTGTTGCTCCATCCAAACTGATTAAGGGTGAAAAGGAAGAAATCATTATTTCTTAAAAATATGAGCCACTGATAAAGCCGTTAAACTGCCAGTTTGAGATCTTAGGTCACTAGAGCCAGCCAACTGACAAATACTCATTTCTGAGGAGAAGTCAAAATAAGAATACTGAAATAGGACCCAGAAAGAGTCCTAACCAAGAAATAAAAGAGCAACAAACTAAACCCATGAAATGTCACAGATTTTTTTATATCAATGGACACAAGTGTGTTACCTACCTTGCTGGACTCTTCTAACTGAGTGCCCCGTTTCCAGGCTTCAGAGAAAATGGAGCTCACAATGCTCTGGGAGCGGACATGTCCTGCTGGCTGAGTGTCAGACACTCCACTGTCAGACTGGTTCGAATGGTTTGACTGCGACTCTGTTTAAAATAGATTTTTAAAAATAGGATTAAATAAGTCATTGTTCTGACAGTGTGAATATGCACCTTTAGAGAGCTCTTTTACACAAGAGGAGATGCTATTCTGCAGTGCAACACGTTACTTTTACTCAAACTCATTTCATATAAGCACTGTCTGGACCTTCCACTAGAAAACTTTTATCTTAGAGCTAATAGGAAATCTTGATTCTTTTTAAATAGTTCACCATGGCAGACTGACAATTACAATGAAAGGTTCGTGTAACATTACTGGAATCCTGGCAACTTCTTGTAAGAACTCCTATCTATTAAGAGAATCAGTAAACTATCAATAGAGGAGATGAATTTTTTTGTTTTTTCAATCACATCTTCATTACAGCAAGACTCAATCTTTGTATATGCCCCTGCTTCAGGCCACCCTAGAGTTCTCACTTAACAAATTCAGATCTACACATGAGAACTACTTCCTTTTTTGCCTGCAATGACTAGTACTTAGAACTACACCTGTGTGAGAAGTATTTTGTAGGGATTCAGGTATTGGCACCACAAGGCAGCAGCTACACTGCAGCCTGGTCTCCCGGTAAGGCAAGAACACCTCTTCAAAGGAGCTGGGAATGGTGAAGGGTACACTGCAATCTGACGTCCAGGGAACTGGGGAGATTATGTCACTGGACCCCAAGTCAGGTTAGATAACCATGCAGAAGGAAGCACCTAGCCCAATGGCTGGCACCTGATGGAGATTCAGGTGTTAAAACTAGTCGCATCCAATGAGTGGGTGAAGGGGGGCATTATTAGATTGCTTTATTAATCAAGTCCAGCCAAGGTAGCCAAAGCAGTACATAGATAACAGCCAAAAACGCCTATGGATAGAGTAAGGGCATATCCTCAAGGCATAAATATAAGATAAAACCTACTCTGTTTTCTTCTTTCTCCATCATCCAATCGCTGAGTGTTTTTTAAGCTTTTAATTTTAATTCCAGTATATTAACATACAGTGTTCTATTAGTTTTAGGTGTACAGTATTGTGATTTAACAGTTCTACCCATTACTCCGTGCTCATCATGATAAGTGTAGTCGGTAATCCCTATCACCTATTTCACCCATGCCCCCACCCACCTCTCCTATTAGATCATCAGTTTTGTTCTCTATAGTTAAGCATCTGTTTCTTAGTTTGTCTCTCTTTTTTTCTGTTCATTTGTCTCTTAAATTCCACATGAGTGAAATCATATGGTATTTGTCTTTCTCTGGCTTATTTTGCTTAGCCTCGTATTTCTCATGCTCCATCCTTCTTGTTGCAAATGGCAAGACTTCATTTTTTATGATCAAATAATACTCCAGTGTGTGTGTGTGCATACACACCACATCTTCTTTATCTATTCGTCTATCAATGAACTTCTGGGCTGCTTCCATAGTTTGGTTATTGTAAATAATGCTGTCATAAACATAGGGGTGCATATATCCTTCCGAACTAGTGTTTTGTATTCTTTGGGTAAACATCCAGTAGTGTGATTCCTGGATCAAAGAGTAGTTCTATTTTCCACAGTGGATGCACCAATTTGCATTCTCACCAAGTCGCAAGTGTTTCTTTTTTTCTATAACCTCACCAACACTGTTTCTTGTGTAATTGCTGAGTGTTTTTTAAAAAGCTGCACCTTCACTAGCCTATGTCCCATTTAATTGCTGTTCAGGACAACAGCCTATAAGAGAGGAGGCTGGAACATGTGAATCCTTGAGCTCTCTTCAAAATGAACGTACATGATTTTGCAATTATGTTTACAAATCTGTGGAATACTTAACACAGTGTGTAGAGAAGGGATGATGCTGGACTAGGAAAAGGCACCATACCACTTCACAAAACGTGTGGAAGCACCTGATTGATGTTATATAAATTAAAAAATATACATTATGGCATCTTTTTTCTCAATCTTTCCCTTAATTTCTTTTTCTAAAATCTTACTTTTGACATATTCTTACCTTGCCTTTCTCAATCATCTCAAAAGTGTCTGCCCCCTCTTTAATAAACATTTTTCCAAGAGTTTTAGATTTATATTTAAAGAAAAGTTGCAAAGCTAGCACAGAGTTCACTTATCACCCAATTTACCTCATTATTAACTTGCTACATTACCATGGTACATTTGTCACAATTAAGGAACCAACATCAATACATTACTTTAGTTGGACTTCACTAGTTTTTCCATAATGTCTTGTTTTTGATGACCTGGACAGTTTTGAGGAGTACTGGGTCAGGTATTTTAGAGAATGTCTCTCAATTATGATTTGTCTGATGTTTTTCTCTTGATTAGACGGAGTTATGAAATTTGGGGAAGAAGATCAAAGTGCCAATCTCATCACATTATGTAAAGGGTACATGCTATCAATAGGATATATTACTGAAGATAATGACCTGGACAACTTGGCTGAGCTAATTTTTGACAGGTTTCTGCTCTGTAGTTACTCCCCTTCCCCCACACCCAACCGTGCAAGTCACTCTGCCCAACCAACACTTAAGGAGAGGGGAATTAAGCTCCATCTCTATGGGGAAAGAGTGTCTGCATAAACCACTTAGAACTCTTCCATACAGAAGATCTGTCTCTTCCCCATTTGTTTACTCAAGAATTTATATCAATATGGACTGATGGCTGTTTATTTATAATTTGGGTTATGATCTTATACTATGTTATTTTGTTGCTCCAATTGTTCCAGCTTTGGTCCCTGGTCACTCTCTCAGTTGGCTCCTGTGTCCCTTTGCACAGCCCTATCACTGTGTGTTTTGAGCATTTCCTTCATTATAAGCTGCTTCAGGCTCCTCTTATTCTCTGCCACAGCCTTAGGATCAGCCATTTGCCAAAGAGCCCTAGTTTCTTTGTTCTGGAAAATGGAATTAGAAAACCAAAATCTAGGCTCTCGGTATTTTCATTGCCACTGGGATGTCACTGCTCTTAGCCCTCTCTGGGGACAGTACTAGGAAATATATGTAGGTATACTAACCCATGTGTATACACATCCCCATTTTGTTTTTGCTTAGAGTTGAAATAAAGTCATACAACTTTTTAGTCAAATCCTTCTTTTTTAAAAAGTCATGGGGCACTTGGGTGGCTCAGTCGGCTGGGCATCCAACTTCTACTCAGGTCATGATCTCACGGTTCATGGGTTCAAGCCCTGTGTTGGGTTCTGTGCTGACAGCTAGCTCAGAGCCTGGAGCCTGCTTCAGATTCTGTGTCTCCCTCTCTTTCTTACCCTCCCCTGCTCACACTCTCTCAGAAATAAATTAAAAAAATTTACAAAAATTTAAAAAGTCCGTATTTTGGGGAAACTAAGTGGCTCAGTTGGTTATGCCTCTGACTCTTGGTTTTGGTCCAGGACATGGTTTTGTGAGTTTAAGCCCCACATCAGGCTCTGCACTTGGCAGCACTAAGCCTTCTTGGGATTCTCTGTCTCCCTTTCTCTCTGCCTCTTCCCTACTTACACTGTTTCTCTCAAAATAAATAAACTTAAAATTTTATTTTAAATAAATAAAGTCCATGCTTTTATTTTATCCTAAAATAAAACAGATTCTGAAAAGTAGAATTTTCTTAAAGTGTATACACATAGCCAGGTAAAAACATACACTAAAAGATTAATTTATATGTTGTACTAATAAATAATGAGGTTTATTCCCCAAATACCTCTTAAAGTCATTATTTCTTTCATAATATGGTAAGAACAAATAAAAACATTCTGCTTTTAGAGGACATAGTTATCATTCATGAAATACTTTGAAGGGAAAGAAGCACTTATTTTAAGGTGTGATCACCACATACTTCTTTAAAGGATGTGAGAATCTGAAAATAAGCACCTTTTTGAGTATCACCGATTTCCTATGAAAACTTTAGTTAAGTTTGATGACTTAAACAGTCCCCTTAATGGTGATACTGAACTAATTCTAATTATTTCCACACTGTTGAAATGTCAGGAATCCTATGGTAAGGAGGGTAATTTCACCATGGATTCTCAGTATGGAGGCTTTCTCCAAGCAACTTTGGTCTCCTCAATTATGCATCAACAGTTGTTTTTTGGCAGTATTATTTTTTTTTTTTTAAGTTTTCATTTATTTACTTTGAGAGAGGAGAGCACAGGGGGAGAGGCAGAAAGAGGGAGAGAGAGAATCCCAAACAGGCTCCACACTGCCAACACGGAGCCTGATGCGCATGGCTTTAACCCACAAACCCATGAAGTCATGACTTGAGCTGAGATCTAAGAGACACTTAACCAACAGAGACACCCAGATGCCCTAGTATGATTGAGTTTTAAATAAACTTTACAAATATGTAGAAACACTCCTGAATTTACAACTCTATACTGCTGTTCCATTTCAAATACATCTGTGATCGAGCCCATGATATTTTCCCCTCTAACCAGGAGAAAATTTATTTTATAATTTAGACATTAGGTGTAACTCTGCTTTTAAGAACCATGCTGAAATAACCAGGTCTGCCATCAGTTTATAAAGATATCTTCATGTTGGTAGTAAATAGTGCTTTCAGCGTTTCAAACTACCTGGGATGCTTGAAGAACTGGATCCTGATTTAATGCTGGAGCTGGATAAGGAAGTCCAATCGTAAGCTGACTCTGTCCTCTTCAAGGCTTCTTGATAGTTCATGTAGAGCTGTTTCCCATACTAAACAGAAGGCAGTAAATGGTGACGTGTAAACTTTACTGGGTATGATACAGATAGATGAGGTAAGAAAGGGGGGTGCATTTCTGTTTACGGATTCAAAGTTTGTATTAAAATTAATACCTATAAATACTTCAAAAATTATTTTAATACCAGTATATTTTAATCTACTTTTTTTTTTTTCATTTTAAGAAAGGCATCAAGAAGTTAACACTTCATTTATGCTCCTTATCAAAAAGATTTTTTTTGGTTATTTCTAAGGCAACTCTGATTTTATAGCTATAATAAGTTTTATTTTTACTTAATGGGCATAAATATTCCTTCTTGTATTATGCGCATAATATTCTTCAAGAAGTCCTTAAAATTTTTTTCAAGAATTTCTTCTGAGAGCAGTTTTAGGTTCACAACAAAATTGAGGGGAAAGTACAGAAATTCCATATATGCACCTGCTACTAACCATGCACAATCTCTCTTTTAACAACATTCTCCACCAGAGGGTGCATTTGCTTCCATCAGTGAACCTACATTAACACCTTATAATCAAAGTCCATAGTTGACCTTAGGTTCATTCTTGGTGTTGTACATGCTATGGGTTTGAAGAGATGTATAATGACATATATTCACCAGTATAAATGTATTACACAGAGTATTAATATTTTCACTGCCTTAAAAATCTGGTGTCATGCTTATTCATCCCCTTTCTCCCGCCTTGAAGCAATTTAATTCTCAGAAACTTTCTTTCATTTGGGCTAAACTCTGCCCAAATATATAGAAGAATTATATAATGCATTCTCCAGAGCCAAAATAAATCACTGTGAAGCTACACTTTTACCAAGAGTATGATTCCATGGATACCAACTGTTAAATGCCTATCCCCTCACCAAGGAAAAAAGACATTTCAAACATAAAACTCAGAAAACACTGGCAAATCATAAACAGGAAATGATTACAACTGTCATGATAATCAAAAACATATGAAACACCTCATCATTTTTCTATCATCAAACCAAAAAAAATAAAAACAAAAACACCCTACCTTTGCAATGCGAATACCATTGACCCACTGATGCAGGGTCCTCACATCATCACAACAAAGGTACTTGATATACTGAGATTTCTTCTGAATCTGCGGGTGCTGCAAGATTAAAGGCAAAGTCTAATTCAGTCCCCTGGAGAACTAAAGAAAACATCTATCAAAGTTGAAACATACCCTGACAAGTTACAGGCCATCAGAGTAATGGTCAAAATAATTTATATCTCTTATGTGGGCATACGGCCATATAAAATGGCCCATAAGTACTTTTACAAAATAAACTATAAAGAAACTTGTGTTGCATTTTAGGTCAAGATATGCAAGGTAAAAAATACCTTCATGTCATGGGAAGTTCCCAAATACCTTCTATATTTCAGAGAAACAAAGGCCAACAAGAAAGGGAAAATTTTTATTCCACTTTGACCCATTGGAATCATGAGTTCAGAAGACTCCAAACAAGTGGGTGTTTGGTAAAGCTCTAGAGCTTCTGTGAAGGTGAACCAATGTGTGGAGTGGATGAAGTGCAGGGCAGAGCACCTCCAACAGAAGTGGGCGCTCACATCTGGTACAGTGGTGCCCTCTGTGGACTGTGCACTGCTCTGCACCTCTTCTACCCACAGCACGTGTCCTCCAAGGAATGAGCAGCTTTTCAACTGCATCATCAGAATGAGTTTTCACAATCCAATGTACTTTTCAGTTGCAGCTAGGATGGGAGGTGACTGACCAGACCAACTACACAATTCAAGTACTAGAACAGACTTAAGGTATTTTAACTCTACTGGGCCACAACCTGGAATGAAAAACCCCAAATCACACTTGGTTCTGGATGTAATGTTTGTTAATTATTACTTCTCTTTTCAGTTATTCTGAAAAAAAATTTTAAATGGCTGTATTTTACCTGGGGAAATATTTATGATTATGTTCAATTATGAGAGGCTTTAAAGATTCTCTAACCATATTTATTGTGGAAATCCATGAGATCAATAAAATAAGCAATTTGAACAAGTTCTCAATGCAGCAGAAATAGACAGCCACCAATATGTTATGTATCTACACTGTTAAAGATCACAGGGGTGCCTGGGTAGCTCAGTTGGTTAAACATTGGACTCTAGATTTTGGCTCAGGTCATGATTTCATGGTTGTGGGATCAAGCCCCCACATAGGGCTCCACATTAGGCAGTAAAGAGCCTACTTAGGATTCTCTCACTCCCTCCCTCATGCACACAGTCTCTCTCTCCCTCCCTCTCAAAAAAAAAAAAAATCCATCTCTCTGGTCTGTAATGTGAGAAATTTAAATCCATTTATTTTATTCTATAAATAAATTTATATACATTGCTTTAGAGAGCTCAGCTCCTATAACAAAACATTTAATACCAAAACCATTTTAGTTTTTAAAGGCTATAGTTAAAGCTGTAAACAATAAATCCTCAAAAAAGGAGGTTAGCAAAACAACACTTAATCAGTTTTCTCTCCTAATACTTTAGGTTCCACAGCCTTCTCTCGGAATGTATTTCCTCCTCCTTATTAAATTACATTATAATAAATCACATAGCAATCTTGAAAAAGCAAAGGAGGGCAGGTAGGGGAGATGTATTTTCCATATAAGAAAGAAGGGGAATTTTATCTCATTCATTCATGTAACAGAAATACTGAGCAAGAACTATTAGCCTGATCTTTAAGTATCCTTCTATCCTTCTCCCCTTATTTCTTTAACCTGGGAATCCAAATAATACCCTGAAGAATATTATGATATGATTATTTGGGTATCTGCAGATTATCTGCTAGTTTATACTTCATTTTAGGGCCTCCTAACTCTTTTTCAACTTCCCATGTAACAGAGACATCCCTTGTATAGCCTTCATTACAGTCACCCAGGCTCTGCACCAATACCTCAGGCAGTGGCCTGTTCCACCAAAATATTATTTTATTAAAACCGGCATTTATTGGGGCACCCAGCTGGGTCAGCTGGTAGAGCATGGGACTTCTGATCAGGAGTTTGAGCCTTATGTTGGGTGTAGAGATTACTTAAAACAAAAAGTGGTATTTATTGGCACTTAGTACATACAGGCATTATGCTAAATATGTCACATATATTAATTAGCTCATTCTCCCCTCAGAAAAACCTGAGGAGTTACATATTACTATCTTCACCAAATGAAGAGAAACTGAGGTACAGCACTCAATGCTGCTCATGTATTCATGCTTGTTAGTGAAAGAACTAGGATTTGAAACCATGCCATCTCATTTCAGGGCCTGTACCCTTAACTAAAATGTCATACTTCTGTCTTATTAGTGGTGAAATCTTCTTCCAAAAATTATGCCTCTCTCCTCTTTTCCCCACATTACCATTCCACCACTTTAAAAATCACACAAGAGCTAAGAGCAAGTATGGAAGAGACATTTTTGTCAAAAACCAGAAGCTTCACATTTAGATTCTTAAAGACTGCAAAGAGAATATATCATCATATTGTTCCCCTAAACAAATTAATAGCTTTTAAGAAAATGATGTGGATTTGGAAAGTTTGCATTCTCTGATAAAAGAAAAAAATTTCCAGGGCATTTGGGTGGCTCAGTCCATTAAGCTTCCAGCTTTTGATTTCAGCTCACGTCATGATCTCGCAGTTCGTGGGTTTGAGACCTGCATCGGGCTCTGTGTGCTGAGAGCACAGTTTGCTTGGGATTCTCTCTCTCCCTCTCTCTCTGTACCTCCCCTGCTCTTTCTCTCAAAATAAAAATGAATAAACTTTTTAATGGGAAAAATATGAAAATTAGATAAAAATATTTAAGAATACAGTAAGAAATTCTGGATTACTATTTGTGCTATCAGATTATTTTTCTCTGGTTAGACCAAAAATTCGATGGAGACAAGTAATTCTTAAAACTAACTAAAAATGATGCTCTAAAATCACAATACAAGTGCCAAAGGAAAACCACTGAATATATACTACCCATTTATTACTCTGGAAACACAAATAGGCTTAAAAATTAATTCTCTCACTAACATGTAAGAAGTTAAAAAACAAAATACATAACACTCCATCCTACTACTTCCAACTTTATCATATATAACATCTTTCTCTTAATGATGGTGTTTGAGGTTCATGTTCCTATTCCATCTCTAAATGCTAACCATTTTTTCCTTCTTACCTAATATACTAAATAAAATAAGTTACTTTGCCTCATTGCTTTAGGAATAAAAACTTAGAACTGGGTATAGTGAGCTATATTCCAACAATCACCACAGTATACGTATTGATATATATCAATACACAAGTATTACTTGAAACGTTGTTTCAAGTAAATGTACATTCATGCATACACATGTGTCCAACAAGTATGTAGCTCTTTCAGATAATAGATAACGTATATCCTATTTATTCCTTCATTGTCCTATTTCATGGGTAAGCTCTTCCCATTATTTTTATTATTGTCTTTAAAAAACCTAATCACTAAACAATGTACTTCCTACAAGTGTCTATTATATTTCCTATATCCTGCATTTTACTGGAAGAACTGACTTAGACATTACAGCCCAAAGCTGATAAATAGGATCAGATCCTATAAATATTTACATTTGTGTAGATCCTGTGTGGCAGCATTTTTGGGTTTGTTAGAACTCATATGCACAGGAATTAAAACTCTGCAGTAAAAAAAAAGGCAGGTCTTAAATACTAACAGTTGTGTGGTCTCAGGAACATTGATTCCTCTAAACCTCAGTTTCCATATCTGAAAAATCGGGATTCTAGTAACAAACTATAGAAATGATCCCTGAAAGTATAGTCTTTGAAAAATGGGGATTCTAGAACAGATCTGTGACATTGACATGCAGTGTTTCTACTGCAGTGTCTGTTAACCCTAGAGTTCTTCAACAAATGACAGCCATTATTTTTACTACTATTTGTACCTAGCAGTATGGTTTATTTCAATACACTGAATATTTTTATACATAAATAGGTAGCCAAATTATGAACTTAGTTTAACCTATTTTATTAAAAGCAATTATGAAGTACATAAATTATTATATAAGCTAACAAACATAAACCCCTTTAAACAAAAGTATTCTTGACTTAAAAATTCTGGGAGCTGCAAAAGGGATGAAAATAATAGTGGTCATAATTAATTTTGGCTGTAACAGACATTGTTGCCTTCCTCATAGTTATCTCCTCTCCCCTACTTCTTTTTTGAAAGAGCCTCAATTTTGTTTGGAAGTCTGTCCACTGTTTACCTGACGGTATAAATTCTGATTAGGCTAAGTCAAAAATACTGGAATAAACATAACCAAGGAAGTGAAAGACCTTTTATAAAACACTAATGAAAGAAATGGAAGATGACACAAAGAAACAGAAAGACAGCCCACGCTCAAGGATTGGGGGGAACAAATATTAAAATGCCCTTATTACCCAAAGCAACCTACAGCTTTAATACAATCTCTATTAAAATACTAACGGCATTTTTCATACAATAAAACAAATAATACTAAAATTTGTATTAAACCAGAGAAAACCAAAAATAGCCAAAGCAGTCTTGAAAAAGAAGAACAAAGCTGGAGGTATCATAATCCCAGATTTGAAGATATAGTACAAACCTGTAGCAATCAAAGAGTATTACTAGCACAAATAAAGAACACGGAGATCAATGGAACAGAACAGAGAATTCAGAAAGAAACCCATGCTTATATGGTCAATTAATCTGTGCCAAAAGAGGCAAGAATATACAATGGGAAAAAGATAGGGGCGCCTGGGTGGCTCAGTCGGTTAAGTGTCCGACTTCGGCTCAGGTCATGATCTCACAGTTCATGGGTTCGAGCCCCGCGTCGGGCTCTGTGCTGACAGCTCAAAGCCTGAAGCCTGCTTCAGATTCTGTGTCTACCTCTCTCTCTGACCCTCCCCTGCTCATGCTGGCTCTCTCTCAGAAATAAATTAAAAAAAAAAAAAAAAAAAAAAAAGTCTTTTCAACAAATGGTGCTGGGAAAACTAGGCAGCTACATGTAAAAGAATGAAACTGAGCCACTTTATTACATCATATACACAAAACCTCAAAATGGATTAAAGACCTAAATGTGAGACTTGAAACCATAAAACTCCTAAAAGAAAACACACGTGGTAATCTCTTGGACACCAGCTCTAGTAAGATATTTACGAATATGTCTCCTCAGAGAAGAAAGATAAAAGAAAAAAAATAAACTACTGAGGGGCACCTGGTGGTTCAGTGGGTTAAGCATCGGACTTCAGCTAAGGTCATGATCTCATAGCTTGTGAATTCGAGCTCAGCGATGGGCTCTGTGCTAACAGCTCAGAGACTAGAGTGTGCTTTGAATTCTGTGTCTTCCTCTCTCTCTGCCACTACCCCACTCGTGCTGTCTCTCATAAATGAATGCTAAAAAAGTTATTAAAAAAATAAACTATTGGGACTACACCAATATAAAAAGCTTTTGCACAGCAAAGGAAATCATCAACAAAAAGACAACCTACAAATGGGAGACAATATTTGCCAATGATTTGTCCAATAAGGGGTTAATACCTGAAGGATATAAAGAACTTACACAACTCAATACCCAAAAAGACAAATAATCTGATCAAAAAATGAGCAGGGGACATGGCCAACAGACACATAAGAAGATGTCCAACATCACTCATCATCAGAGAAATGCAAATTAAAACCATGAGATATCACTTTACAACTGTCAGAATGGCTAAAATCAAAAACATAAGAAATAACTAGTGTTTATGAGGATAAAGAGAAAAAGGAACCCTTGTGCACTGTTGATGGGACTGCAAACTGGTGCAGCCACTGTGGAAAGCAGTATGGAAGTTCCCCTAAAAATTAAAAATAGAATTACCATATGATCTAGTAATTCTGCTATGGGGTATTTACCCAAAGAAAACAAAAACACTTATTAAAAACTATATGCACCCTTATGTTTACTGCAGCATTATTTACAATAGCCAAATTATGGAAGCAATCCAAATGTCCAATGATAGATGAATGGATAAAGAAGACATAGCGTGTGTGTGTATGTATGTATATAACTACACACACGAGTATTCCTCGGCCATAAAAAAAAAAATGAGATCTTGTCATTTGCAACAGGGATGAACATACAGAGTATAGTGCGAAGTGAAATAAGTCAGGGAAAGACAAATAACATAGGATTTCACTCATATGTGAAATTTAAGAAACAAATGAACAAAGAAGAAAAGACAAAAACAGACTCTGAAATACACAGAACTAGTGGTGAAGGGGACATGGGTGGGGGAATGGAAGAAATAAAAGGGATTAAGAGTACCGTTTATCTCGATGAGCAATAAGAAATGTATAAACTGTTGAATCATATTGAACACCTGAAAGTATTATAACACTATATGAGAATTGTGCTTCAATTTAAAAAATAATCTTTAAAAAAAAAGGTGTGCATGTACTCAGGTCAATGATTTTCAAGAGAAGCACTGTTGGTAGCTCCTGGGAAATATTTCCTCCCTCTTAAAAGAAACCAAACACAGGGAGTAATAGTCCCTCTTCTACTGCTGGATTTTTCTAGATCCATTGCATCATGGGTGCATCATCCATGTGATGCCTAGAACTACAGTGGTCATCTGTACCTGTGAAGTGAGCCAGCCTGAGGATAAGCTGATAGGCAGAAGATGGAATCGAGAAAGAAGGAAAGAATTTGGGTTCTCACTGACAACGCTGAGTCCTTGAAATAACTACCTCTGTCTTCATGTTATCAAACTTTCCACTTATATGGGTTATGTCTACAGATACTTACCTTGTAACAAATTAAAACTGAGAAAAATTAAAATACAAAATTATACAAATATATGTTCTATTACCTAAGAGAGCAAAGATATCATCACAGGTAGCGTAACCTCTTAGAAAACTGCCTAATACATTTGTGAGAGAACAAAAGCATAAAAGGCAAATAACATCTCAGCATTACTGGAAAAGAAATTTTGACACCACAGGTCCCTTGATAGAGTTTCAGGGACTCCCAGGGGAGCTTGGACTTCATTTTGAAAACTACTGAATTGAGCTACTTTGTAATGACTTTTAAAAAATTATTTGCTGCTGTAACCTAAATGATCAAAACGTTTCATCATTTTGATTGCTCAGTTGGTTAAACATCCGACTTTGGCTCAGGTCATGATCTCACGGTTCGTGAGTTCGAGCCCCAGGTCAGGTACTGTGCTGACAGCTCAGAGCCGGGAGCCTGCTTTGGATCCTATGTCTAACTCTGTCCCAACCCCGCTCACACTTGTCTCTCTCTCTCTCTCAAAAATAAACACTGAAAAGAAATTTTTAATTCCTAAAAAGAGAAATATCTTTACCTTTAGCACCAGACAATAATCTGTGGGTGCTTTGTATTTGTTCCGATAGTCCTGTCCATAATAAACATTGACATGATCCAGTTGGAGAAAGCACACCAGTTCTCGAGAGACCTAAGACAGAAACACCCAAAAGACTGAATTAACAATAATGTATAAACAAGCAAATATTATACCTGGTAACAGTTTCTAGTTGAGAATAAAAACTTTGCCAAGTGGAAATAGTGATATTTTGTAGATAACAAGACAGTGAGATTCTCTACAAATGTTCCTTCTTTAATCCATAATGCAACAAAAAGGAAGTCCATTTCACTTCCTGCCATTCACAATGAACACACTTGCTTGAAAAGGGTGGCATTCTAAAGAGACTTTAAATACAATATAGTATATTAAATACAACATAGTATAACAAAGCTCTTGAAAAAAATTTAAAAATCATGTAGTTCAGTGCTGGTAATGCATATCTCAAGTACAATGATTCCCAAGTCAGGGTTTCCTCACCTTAAATACAGGCAACAAAATATACCTCTTAGGTTAGTGGTTAAGATTGGATTAGATGATGCAGCAAAGAGTTTAAAACAGTGCTGGCTGCTAGTAAGCACAGAAGTGACAGCTACCAAACAAACGGGCCCTCAGCAGGAGCATATTATCCCGGTGAGGCTGAAATGCCTAAAATTCCAAAAAGCTATTTTCCCCAAACAGTAATACCCAAAACCCACTGTGACAGAAGTTCCAAAAATAATAAATAAAAGTATGATTTCAATCATGGCAAGAGAATTGAGATGGGCCCAATGAATGACCGAAGTGTGAATACTTTCAGGTTTCTTTTTTTTTTTTTTTAATAACAGATCAATAAACAAAGCAATATTCTGGGTGTCCTAAAAGAGCTGAAACCATCAGAGCCTGGATTCACCCTGTCAGCATACTCATTACAAATTAAAATCAACTGCCATATGAGGAAGCTCAAAAGCCAACAGAAAGGACACACCTTTGCTTTTCCTTTAGGGACATAGTAGATGCCAGATGCTCGCAAGAGAAAATAACGCTTTTTCCAGGACTTTTTGCCATCATCTTTCAGCCACAGGACTCCTTCAATTTCTGGTACAGTTACAGAACTTCCACAAAAACATTCCTAAAATAAGAAGAGGATTTGTAAAGACATGTGATCTTTGGATTCTCAAAACAAAATTGTTTTTACCCTGTGAAATTCATGACACTATAATTAAACCAAAATGGGTTTGTAGTAAAACCATATTGCTAATTTTATCTCAGAACATTCTATTCTAAACATCATATAGATTTATTTTGAAACTATGATGGCTATCCCTATGAACTTTCACCCTAACACTTTAAAAAGATTTGTTTTTAATGTTTATTCATTTTTGAGAGACAGAGTGTGAGTAGGGGAGAGGCAGAGAGAGAGGGAAACACAGGATCTGAATGAAGCAGGTTCCAGGCTCTGAGCTGTCAGCACAGAGCCCAATGCGGGGCTCGAACTCATGGGCCAGGGGATCATGACCTGAACCGAAGTCGAACACTTAAATGACCGAGCCACCCAGCTGCCCCCTTTTTTTTTTAATTTGAGAGAAAGAGGGAGAGGGAGAGAGACAGAGAGAGACAGAGAGAGAGCATGCACGTGAGAGCGCACATGCACAGGGGCGAGGGGCAGAGGGAATCTTGAGCAGACTCCATGCTCAGGGTGGAGCCTGATGCAGAACTCCACCCTATGACCCTGAGATCAAAACCTGAGCTAAAAATCAAGAGTCAGATGCTCAACCAACTGAGCCACCCAGATGTTCCTACCTAACACTGTTTTGAAGTAAGTTGAATTGTCAACTGAGCTGCATGTAACAGGATTTAAATGCATCTGTAAACAGCATACTAACACTAAATTTAATAAAAGTGTCAGAGCTAACATAAGCATTAGATTTTATTTTTTCTCCAAATTAACAACATATTTAGATTAGCTGTCAAACTAGATTTTAAAAGAAAGCAACATGCTGAGTAATTAAATTTTACAATTTAAAAATTACCAATTTATAGGAGTCTAAAACTAAAAGGGCATTTATTTCCTAAAGATTTAAAACTAAGTTGAAAGCAATGTAAACAAACTCAAAATTGTGAATTCCAATGTCTATTTTAGATAAAAATATAATTTAAAAAACCAATCATGTATTTGGTAAAGAAAAATAGAAATCCTCACTAAATATTAACATAGAACATTTTGAGCCTACATTAACTTTTCTCTTTCCCAAGTACAGAGAAATCAGGAATTACAAAGAGGATTTTTAGTTGCAACTAGTATCACTATGAACAACTGAGTGCTGATCTTCATTTTCCTAATTGTATTATTGCTAAGTAAGAGTTTATTCTGGTTTTCAAATATGCTAATAACTTCTTTGATGTTTTTTTTTTTTTAATTTATTTCTGAGAGAGAGAGAGAGAGAGGCAGCGTGAACAGCGGAGGGTCAGAGAGAGAGGGAGACAAAGAATTCAAAGCAATCTCCAGGTTCTGAGCTAGCGGTGAGCACAGAGCCGGACGCAGGGCTCGAACCCACGAACCATGAGATCACGAGCTGAGCCGAAGTCGGACTCTTAATCGACTGAGCCACCCAGGCGCCCCACTTATAACTTCTTTGATTTTAGTTCTCTAAAATCACCAAAGGCCAAAAAGCTAAAAATTGAATTATGTTTGAATTTATTTTATTAAGATTAAGGTGTATTATGTGTGTGTGTGTATATATGTATGTGTATATCTTAAAAGATCATGATTTTTAAAATTATTTGAGTTATTTAAAGGTAAGGCTTGAAATATTTTGTAAATAACTAAGTATATTCCAATTTCTCTTTGGGTGAGCAGATAAAGCACCACAATCATCTCCTTCATTGACCAGTCTTTTTCCTCCTCCTGTCTGCTCCTAACAGCTCATGACTCCTTTTTAGTTTACTAATACAATTACTTGGCAAAATAACAGATTTTAAGAGGTTCTTCTGTGGCCTAAGAGTCACATAGTTGAATTCTCCCCCTCAGGCTATGGTGGAAGATAGGCTTCTCTAGTTGTAAGTATAATTATGAATATATAGCATTGATATATGACTTTAAAAAGGTGCTTAGTATTTTAATGTGCAGGCAAAAAGGGGGTAAGGGGAGTAAAGAGTCATACCTCCAACAGCACTTCTTTATTTCTATCTGCCATCTCAGCGGTTTCCTTTTTCCCCAGAAGATAATTCTGGAAAAATAAATAAATGAAAGTTAAGGAATAAATCCAACCTATTATTCCCTTGGAACAGGTACATATAGGATTTCTTCTAGAGATTTAACAATTGTGTCTTCTTGTACAGGATGAGGGGAGCACTGCTCTGAGAAGTAACTGGTGCATGAGCATCAGGGGTAAAATGCTTAAATGCTGGCGGCCTCCTTACTTTACCCAGTATCTTGAACTATTCCATATACTGCCCTCCCCCAAATCCTGAGGTGATACCACATGTAAGAGCTGGCAAATGTTTTGTACAACTAATGAAAGGAACTGAAAGGTTTATAAATTTAGTAGACTAAGACAAATTTCCTTAAAAGATGCTAAGCTTAACTGACCCCGATACAAAAAATTTATGTTCTGGCTTTAAAAGAAGAAATTTTCAATTCTCTGAGACTATCATAATATCATTTGCTTGACTCAACTGAAACCTGAATTCAAATTATTAGCCTTATAAAAAACTTTTTCACAATCACCTATAAAAAGATCTATTGATATTCCCAAAGGTGTACTGTTCACTAAAAATATGTGGTAAAGATGTGTCATGATTAAGCTGTCTGAAGGATAATTATTTAATACTTTTAACACTGCAACCATTTTTCATTACTTCCTTTTATAGTAGAGTTTTCTCTTACCTACTGATTTTTATAAAATATTTGTGTACTAGCAAGTATTAACTCAAACATTCTGAAATAAGCAAAGATAATTAAGCAAATAAATTAAGGTAACTTACAATAAAAAGTGGAATCATTTTATAATCAAGGTTATTGAGATTTTTCAAAAAGTCAAGAATAAAGTGTCAACTGGATAAATGGAGGAAGTAGAGAACTTAAATACGAAAGTACTTTTCTATTATAGATGAGAAGCTCACCAAATAAATGAGTTCAACAGCTCTGGATTACAAAGAGCAGAAACCTGGTATCTCCCTGGAGTTCCTTCTACTGCCTCAAGGGCCCACCCCATCTGGCTCTGTGAGACTGGTAACCTCTTTGAGGCCTGACACTGGGGACCCAGCAGACTTTCCACTTCAGTAGTGAATACTCCCATGAGGTTTTGCAACCAAAATGCTCCAACCAGGTGGCTGTCAGTTGTTTTTGTTGTTTTTTTTAACTTTATTAACTTAAAAGTAATAGAATAATGTAAGATGAACATTTAGAAATCACGATTTCTGGAAGTTATTCAGTCTCACCTGTGGGTTTTTGAAAAGTGCATATTTTTCTATACGTTCCATAAATATGAGCTTGTTTTGGCTATCTCTTGTCCAATTAAGAAGATTTTCAACCAAGTTTTCATGGTCTTCAAAGATTCTCTCTGTCCAAAGACAAAATATCAATACTTTGTTAGTATTCATCAGACCTGCATCAAAGATATACAACCTTGTGAAGTAATTCAGAGCAGAACCACAGAATTTTACCTAACATTATGCCCCCTGACCCTTGGAGATTGTCTGGGTCTTCCCTCTGTTTTCAAATAAGGAAACATGCCCAGTGGTGTTAATTGATTTCAGCAAAGTCACACAGATGCTACATGGAAGAATTGGGACTAAAATCTAGGTCTTCTGAGTTTTATGTCTTTCTCAAGCCTTCAACCTTTCCCGTCCCACCCTTGAAAAAACAAAAACAAAACACCCCCCAGCATATTAGTTGGATTTTATAAATTATTATATTAAGGATTTCCAATAGTATTTAGTTCTTATCATTTTAAAAATTTCCAAGATGATTTCTTCTTTGGTCTACTGGTTTTATTTTACATTTAAATTTTTAAATGTATTTTCTAATTTCCAAATTCGGAATCAAAGAACATGTCTTATATATTGAACCCATATTCAAAGAACACATCCTAGATATGGATTTTTTGAAGTTTCCTGTCAGGTGCTTAGGGACTGACATTTGAATCCATTTTTGGAAATATTCCATTTCTGCTTGAAAAGAATGTATATTGTCCTGTTAACAGTGTTCTACATATGTCTCTTAGACCAAATTTATTTTTCAAATCTCCTATATCCTTTTTTGTCTGTTTGATTATACTGATCACTGAAGAGATTCTTAGGTGATAAAGTTCTACTACAAAGACTGGGTTGTGGATTTCTCCTTGTAGTTAACTTTTGCTTTCTACATTGTAATGCCATTATAACATTTAGAATGATTACATATTCCTGGTGAAGATGTGTGGTTTCCTTTCCTAGTGATGCATTTTGCTTAGTCTATTTTGTCTGATCTTAACATAGTTATCTTTCTTTTAGTGAGTATCTTCCACATTCCTTTTATTTTCAATCTTTCTGTGTCTTTAGGTAATAGGTCTTTTGCAAACAGGTGCATTTTGTATTTTGTTTATTCATCCTTTTTTTTTTTTATTTTTTTAATGTTTTATTTATCTCTAGGAGAGAGAGAGAGAGACAGCGTGAGCAGGGGAGGGTCAGAGAGAGAGGGAGTCACAGATGGGAACAGGCTCCAGGCTCTGAGCTGGCAGTCAGCACAGAGCCCGACGCGGGGCTCGAACCCACAAACCGCGAGATCATGACCTAAGCGAAAGTCGGACGCTTAACCGACTAAGCCACCCAGGCGCCCCTGTTTCTTCATCCTTAATAACCTTTATTGTTTAATCAAATAATTGACATTTCTTATAATTTCTTTTCACCATTTTATTTTGGGTACTTAGTAGTCCCTTGTTTTATTTATTCAACAAATACCGAGTGATCCAATACTATGTTTGAAGCACTGTGCCATATATGATTAAGTAATAGTTTCCTAACACTGTAACCAATTGTAATAGAGAAATATTACATATATGGGTCTTTAACCTATAGCCATGGATATATTCTAAAAAATAGCATCCAAACATTTTCTGTGTACCATGAATGCCTAATCTATAAACTTAAACTTTTCTAATTCTGTAAGAATAGTTATGAGCATTATTAGAATATATTTTATACATGTTAATAAACTAATAACTATGGTTTAGTTTGGAGGAGATGTATGTGGGTTCTGAGACAAAGGAATACTTAAACTTTTATTTCTCTGCAAACTGCTATGAAATATTTAAAGATATAAGAAGTAGTAAGAGCAATGCAAATACTTTTTAAAATAAAATAGAAAGTTGAAATTGATTACTGATTCAATAATACCTAATAAAGTAATAATTGCTAGGTTGCTATAATCACACATTATAAAAAGAAAACTTTAAGAGTCAATGATGGCATTAAAAATGAGGAACTTTTAAAATTAGAAACCACCACACTAAATTACAAATCATAGAACACTAAGATTTAGTTCATTTAGCTAAAAATAAAAAAGATGTGCTTTATGATTTCCCTAAAAGTCAAATGCTGGTCTAAAGAATTCAGAACAGGGGCACTTGGGTGGCTCAGTCAGTTATGCATCAGACTTTGGCTCAGGTCATGATCTCATGGTTTGTGGATTCTAGCTCCCAGCCTGGAGCCTGCTTCTGTTTCTGTGTTTCCCTCTCCGTCTGCCCCTCCCCCACTCACATTCTCCCTCTCCCTCTCTATCTCAAAAATAAACATTTAAAAAAAAAGAAAGAAAGAACAAGATGTGTTTTAAATAAAATAAGGAATTCAGAACAAATGTGAATAAATATAACAATTTTTAGCAAGTGTATCTATCTATGCAGTAACTTGAAGGGAAAACGTATTTTGTTACTTAAAAAAAGAAAAGCTGTTTTAGCCATAAGATTTGAGGTGAACAGGGAATGATATTGTATTCAAAGAAATCTCAAAACACTTGATGGAAAAAAAAGGTAGTGTATAAAAGCCAAAGTTATATACAGAAAAAAAATACATATAGATGTCTCAAAGTGTTTTTTGTTAACATACAAACTGTTAGAATTACATAGAAATGAAAAAGTAAGCAAAGCAATTACATTACTAACCCATCTGTAATTCAGAGATGGTTTCTACAAGTGACCAGTCTAAACTATAACCGCAGTGGGACTTGTCCATTAGGTTGTCCAGCACTTGCCTCACCGTCTGCCTCTCATCCACCATCATTGTTTTAGAACTGTCGTCAGACATATGAACTCTGATCACCAACTATAACAGATAAAAAGGAAATTAAATACAAACCAAAAATAGGCATTCTAGAAATTTCTTCCAATATCAAGCAATGTTCTGTAATGTTCTTAAATATATAAATTAAAACACAAATAATGACTTTATTATGCAAGAAACTTTAAAATTAGGTATCAAATAACCTACCTAAACAAATTTAAAGCATTTTAAAAATTATAATAAAGGTAAGATTATCATAAGAGTATTGTGTTTTAGTTTTTTAGGAGAATTTAAAACAAAGTTATTTCTTTATAATACATCTTATCTCCAAAAATACATGTGAAAAAATATTAGGAAGAAGTACCCCTCTATCTCTCCATACCTTAGAAGTATGTTATATAAGCAAGGCAATTCTTTATCAATCTGATTTTAAAAATCCCAAACCAGGAAAACGCCCAAATATCACCTTTTTCACTTGAGCCTCTTTAATTTTCTCCAGGGCAACTCTGATCTTCTCAGCTTTCAATTTTGCTGCCTGTTCTTCCTGTGAACACAAAGCACTTCAGATATACTAATGCTAAAATAATGAGAATTTCTGAAACTTTTTTTTATCTTAAGGATGTTTGTCAGCATTGAATTTCAGTAAGAATATAACTTGAGCCACTTATATAGAGCATATTTAAAAAATAACCCTGTTCACTAAGTGAAAACAGACATATTACAAAATATATTTTTAAGATGAAGACTTGAAGATCTATTATAAGACCAGATTCTACCTTTTAGAGAAAAAGAAATCTGTGGTATAGTAAATCTGTCCGTCTGAAGCAGAAAAACTTTAGGTTCTGGGGTAGGAGAAACAGGAATGTATAACAAGCTATGTGTGGATCTGCCAGTTTGTCACACCTACACAATCCCTCAACTCTGAATTTACGCTCACCTCTGAAGTCTGGGCAATCTTTTGCATACTAATGTTTTGTTCTGTTACACTGAAAATGTATCTTCATTATAAATAGCAAAAAAACAGTATCGATTTATTTCTTCGCAATGACATAAAAATCCCTAATAAAAAAGATAGGTATGTTCTCATTAATATACCAATATAGATAGAGAAGGATGCATTATACTCTAGGCTTAATTCTGCCTGAAAAATATACAATATAATCAGTGTCTTATGTCAGTAAGACAAACTCAAATTTGTTTCTATTAATTCAGTGATGAAATTTTTAAAATTTCAAATATAATTTCAAATATAATTTTCCAAATATCTAATTTCTAGCAACTTAAATTTATAAAATTTAGACTATAAGTAGTAATAAAAATTATTAAGAATTCTAACTATAGTTACACAATTTAATTTTTCCTAAAATAACACAGTACTGCAATTCTGGTACTTACTTGTACTTTCCAGCAATAAGCCATTGTACACTGTAGCCTTAATCTCCAGTTGAGAAAAACTCATGTAAGTAAATCTTTACTTACAAAAGATTACTTTCTAAGCTTTTGGTTACTCTGGAAAATATCTAATAAAAATATACACTGACATCTTACACATTTCTGTATTTAATATAAGACTTAAAACAAAAGAAAAACATGGTTGTATCAGCCAACTTTACCTGCTCTGGATTATGATTAAAAAAATACAATCCACGTGTTATTCACAAAAAAGCTAAAGCTTCCAGAGTCAAAAACAAAAACGAACTTCAATTCATTTATAAGATGTATTATTCCCTGTTCTCCTAAATTCTGTTGGCTTTCTTGTTTCTGAACTGTTCTCTTTCCATTTCACACTCTAAGCTATCTTCCCTCATTTCAAGGTTAAATAGTTACTACTCTGTAGAACAGAGAAGAAAACAGTGGTTAGAGAAGACACTGGGCTCCTTTGCCAGAAACTGGATCCTTTTCAAAGAAAGGAGCCAGTGAATTAACATAACAACCAAGGCGTGGAAATACTACCTTGTAAACCCAATTAGACAGGGAACAAAGAACTTTAACAATGGAGGGGGTAAGATAAGACTTGATTTTTAGACTATTCTAGGTATATTCATTTGATGAAAGGATTAAATCATTATAGCCCCCTTTATGCAAATAAACAACATAAAATATGTTGCCTGTATATTTTACAGCAAGTTTTTCTTTTCAATGCAGGCTACACACAGTGAGAAAACTATACTACTGTCATTAAAACTCAGTTTCTAGAATTCTGTGTCTTAGAGAAACAAATCATTATTAAATTACCAAACCCTGTGTTTGGTACACACTACTCTAGAAAGGAATTTTGAATACTAGCATTTCCAGTGGTTTTTATGAAGTCAGTTATTTGACACTTTTTTTTGGAAGAGGAAAGACGGATGCAGGAGTGTTATAAATGTTTTCTCAATGGGATAATGATCTTATGTTCCTCATGGCTCATTTCCCACATCTTTGTAGTAGTATGAATGGCTGTTACAGAGAAGAAAAATTTATCAAGGCATATTTTCAAGTTTTACTTCATGTCTCTAAAAAGCATATTTAAATCTCAAAGTCTGTGAGGGAAGACTGATATGCAAAATCAATGCTTTGTGTATATGGAATATAAACATGAACTTCTAAAAGGCCAAATTCTTTTATAATATTATAATTATTCTGCAGAAGTTAAAAATATTGTTCCCAAAGCCAAAAAACATTTTTAAAAGAAAAAGAATATTCAAGAAGATAAGACAAGCCACAGACTAGGAAAAAATATTTGCAAAATATTTATCAGACCTATATGATAAAGGACTATTTATCTAAAACAAAGAACTCTTTTTTTTTTAATTTTTATTTTTTTTTAATATTTTTATTTATTTCTAGGAGAGAGAGAGAGAGAGACAGCGTGAGCAGGGGAGGGTCAGAGAGAGAGGGAGTCACAGACTGAAACAGGCTCCACGCTCTGAGGTGGCAGTCAGCACAGAGCACGACGCGGGGCTCGAACCCACGAACCGTGAGATCATGACCCAAGCGAAAGTCGGACGCTCAACCAACTAAGCCACCCAGGCGCCCCAAAACAAAGAACTCTTAAAACTCAAGAAAATGAACAACCCAATGAAAAAATGGGTAAAAGACACAGACGGACAATTCACAGATGGTTAAAAAGCCTATGAAAAGATGCTCAATATCATATGTCATTAGGGAACTGCAAATTAAAACGAGATACCACTACACAACCTATTAAAATGGCTCAAATCTAAAACACGTGAAAACATCAAATGCTGGTAAAGTTGTGGATCAACAGGAACTCACATACATCGTTGATGGGAATGCAAAATGGTAACAGCCACTTTGGAAGATAGTTTGGTGTTTTTTTTATAAAACTAGACATGTTCTCACAATATGATCCAGTAATCATGCTCCTTAATATTTACCCAAATAAGGTGAAATTTACCTCCACCCAAAAATCTGCACACAGATGTTTATAGCAGCATTATTTGTAAATTTGCTAAAACTTGGAAGCAACCCAGATATCCTTCAGTAGGTGAATGGATAAAACTGTGTTACATCCAGACAATGGAATATTACTCAGTGCTAAAAAAAAAAAAAAAAAAAGCATTGAAAATACATCGAGGAAACTTGAATGCATATTACTAAGCGAAAGAAGCCATGGGGTGCCTAGGTGGCTCAGTTGGTTAAGCGTCCAACTTAGGCTCAGGTCATGATCTCACGGTTCGTGGGTTCGAGCCCTGTGTTGGGCTCTGTGCTGACAGCTAGTTCAGAGCCTGAAGCCTGTTTTCCGATTCTGTATCTCCCTGTCTCTCTGACCCTCCCCTGCTCACGCTTGTCTCTATCTCTCAAAAATAAATAAAACATTTTTTAAAAATTAAAAAAAGAACACAACCAGTGCTACCTTTTGAAGCACTGATATAAAAAGTCACTCAATTTTAAGATTAGTTTAAACACAGTTTTTCCACAGGCTAACAGGAGAAATGACACACTACAAGAAAGGATTAATGAAACAAGAGATACAGTGCAACCATTTAACATATATTAAACCACTTAGATTTCCTAGCCATCAATAAGAAGCCACCTTTATGTAAAGCACCTAGGTGGGGCTATTTAAAAAAATTTTAATATTTATTCACTTTTGAGAGAGACAGAGTGTGAGTGGGGGAGAGGCAGAGAGAGAGGGAGACACAGAGTCTGAAGCAGGCTCCAGGCTCTGAACTGTCAGCACAGAGCCTGATGCAGGGCTCAAACTCATGAATCCTAAGATCATGTGACCTGAGCAGAAATCGGACGCTTAACCTACTGAGCCACCCAGGCACCCTAAGTGGGACTATTTAAACATACAAATTCAGCCCTTCCATTGCTCAAAATACTACTCTTGATCTGTTTTAAAACTATTTTCAAATGCAAATTTAAGAGGTAAATGCTTAATTTCAACCTAGGCCAATTTTAGTTTATTCTTCTCCAATTTATTAACAAGGATAATCCTTGCTAGAAGCTTTTTGAGAAACAATTGATCAAGATGCCTCTTACTTTTAGAGTCTGAATATCATCACTGGAGCAAAACTGAAAATAAAAATATTTATATCAAATTGCAAGAGCATCAGATTTTATGCTTCTTATGGATAACCTCTTCCTCAGAAAGCTTGATTTTTACCCACATTACCATGTAATGTAGTAAAGATATGGTTTTGACCCTAACAACCTAGAAGAGGAAGAAACTGTTTTAAAGAGCATACAGTATACAATAAAGATCAATAAATCTTTGTTGATACGTTTAGATTATATAGTAATAAGACATGGTAGTTTATAAAGGCAATGCAAGTCTGTGTTCAATGTCTGCAACACAACTTCAATACAAAGAACAGTTTTATTCATCTCATGTTCTCTTCTTTTTGTTAATGCAGAAACCCGCAGGTCTTACTTAAGCCTTCTCTGCCCCTTATCTTTTGACTATACCTTTCTTCATGTTGTTTGTCCCACCGCCATCCTAAACATAAGTAAAAGGTGTCTCACACATATAACAACTTCTTCTACCCTGTCTCTTAAGAGAGCAAAAGACAACCCATTTTTCTACCTGAAAAACTCCTGTGTGGCTATCAATAACCATCAAATGCCAAGCCTCTTCAAATTTACATAAAGAACAAAAACTCAGTGAAGATCTTCAGATTAAATGAAAGCCAATGCTGTGGTTACAAAGTGCTGAAGCATTCTCTTTAGTGTAAAAATTAGAATACTCACAGAAAGAGTGACAGTTGCTAAGAGATGGTCAATGAATTCCTTCAACTAAGAAATTATTAGGGCTTTGATGGTTCAGAACAAATCCAATTGAAATTAAGGGGCTAAAAAGTGGTTAACAGTTTCTTTGGGATCTAATTTCACATTTTACAAAAAGTTATGTAAATTTAAAAAGATCCAAAGGAAACCTGGAGTGGTAAATAGTTCACTGTCCATGAAATGTTCTACCCTTTAATACTTAGAACTAAAAATAATAATAGTTATAACTAGTTTATTTCCTTGAAGAAATCAGGACATTTAACATTAACTGAACACCTACAACTTGCCTCACACTATGAGGCATTGTTA